CGCAGCCCTGCCCCCTGCAGGACCCACAGACCCCGCCCACACGCCCACGGCCCCGCCCTAACCCTGCCCTCCGCCCCACCCCCAGAGAGGCAGGACAGGCCCTAGCCCCACACCTTCTCATTCTGCCGCAGGTGCTCCTCACAGGCGCTGAGCGCCTCCTGTGGCTGCGACTCTCCGAGGGTGCACAGGGCACTGCACACCTGCTCTTGCACCAGAGGGTCCTTGTCAGTGACGGCGTCCAGCAGGATGGTGGACAGCTCTGCAGCGACAAAGCCCGTGCGCATGCTCAGGCCGGTCTGAGGACTCAGACCCAGTGCCGGAGGCCATGGTGTCCCCAGGCCCACCCACCGCACGCACTCACTCCTCACGTAGGACCGGGTCATCGCGGTGGTCTCGGCTTCCTCTCACCCAGTGTTAACATGGACAGCTTCTCAAACCTGGAGGAACCAGAAGGCGACCCTGAATTCACAGGCTTCCTCAATTACAGGAGGTACAATGTTTGCGAAAAGCACACGACTTAAAGGAATCACTCCGCGGGACAGTCTCTGCCACACTTGGGCTGCGCTGCTCACAGATGGGGGGGGAGGCTGTCCCGCCCACAGGTACCAGCTCTCTCCACCTGGCACCGGTGGCCTGCGCCCACTGTCAGCCCACAAGGGCTTGTTCTGGGGCCCCCGGTGACCTGGGCAGGTGTGGTCACTGCCTCCTCCTACAGCCTCTGCCTTCACTCTGAAGAACAGAAGACAGGATGTACTAAGGCCTGGAGTCCTGGGGGTCTGTGCACAGCTGGAAAACCTGTCCCCAGGGACCAAAAACAGGCCCCTGAGCCCTGCAGGGCCACATTCCCCACAACGAGGATGCCAGCACAGGATTACATGGGCCTCCTGGAGGATGAGGCTGGACGGGCAGCACAGGGCACCAGGGGATTCACTGGCACCTGAAACCAACCGTCCCAACAGCCCGGGGGACGGGGGAGCAGCAGCTTCCAGACGTCAGGTACCTGGAAGCACCCCTAGCTGCAGGCAGACCAAAGCCCAGCCATCCTGCAAGGGCCACTGCTCAGGCGCATGGCATACTCTCCAGGGACGGGAAAGGTCAGAGGGCCCAGGCCCTCAGTGTGGCCACTGCCTGCTTCCTAACACTCATGTCCTCTGTTCGCTGGCGATCCCACCGCCCCTTCATTCTCTCCATAAAAGGACGATGGCAGTAAAGGAGAGATGGCACGCTCTGCCCTGACCATCTGGCTGTGCACACGCGGGGAGAGGCAAAGTGAGAAATCATGCAAGGCTTGAGGGGTGGGAAATTAGAAATAAGGGGGCATTCCAATGCAAAAAAGCAGACCAGTCCCACGCATTCACCCACCCCACCCCGACCTCAACAAAAGGACAGGAGACATGCATGTTTTAAAAGAATAAACTCACAAGAACACTAGAAAACAAGAAAAAATAAAATTAGCAGACCAGAGACTTCCAGGAACCCCCAGGCAGACAGGAAGCAGATGGAGAAGATGCTGGTTTGAAGAGGGTGGCATCAGCGAGGTGTTTCCACTTTCTTCCTGGAAAGCATCTAAAAGCAACAAGGAAAACACGGGAAAAAAACCACATATTCAATTTGCAGCAGAGCAAGAAACCAAAAATCCCAAACCCCAACAGGGTGAAGGGCTGAAAATACCACAGTTGTCGGTGGGGTGGGAGGTTCCAGAAAGAACCCACAGAACACACTTCTCAAAGGCGGGGCAGACACTCACGTGAAACCCAAAATCCTCCGTTCCCAGGCCCGGTCTGAGTCCTGGAGGCAGGCAGCCTGTCCCTGGGCAGAGGCTTTCCCTGTGAAAAGCCACAGCTGCCCACCTCCAGTGCCTCCAAAAACGCAAACACTAAAGCAGCTCACACTCCACCCAGTTCAGAAGGCCCTTCGGACAAGCGCAAACGGCCCTGCTCGCCCACCTCAAACAGGAGCAAACAAAAATAAATAAGCCAAAGAGACATCAGCTCCCAGCCCGATGGGAGTAATGGACCACTTTGCCCTCCTGACCAAAACAACTGAAAACTGGACAAAGCACAGGAAACCACAGTTCTCGGGAAGATGGACACCAGGAAACGAGGGGCAGGGAACCCTGAGATCACTGCAGCTCACCGCCTGGAGGGCGCATTCAGGCTGAGGAGCATTCAGCAGGGCCTAGTGACACTCCTGAGTTGAGGAGACGGACTGGGGGGTTCTCAGGAGACCTAGGTCCTGCCTCATTTTGCAGGCTGTAGAACCAGAGAGAATTCCAGAGACCTGCAAAAGGTCCCCTGCGCGCTCAGCTGATTTACTGGGCAGCAGAATAATGTTCCCCAAGATGCCCGCCCAGGCCTTCACCCCAGAACCTGTGACTATGCTACCTTACATGGCAGAAGGGACCCAGCAAGTGGGATTAAGGGTACAGGCCCTGAGGTGGGGGGTTCCCCTGGATTAGGTGGGTGAGCCAGAATAATCACACAGGTACTTAACAGCAGAGAGCCTTTCCCAGCGGGGTCAGAGAGATGAGACGGAGGGTAGAGGAGGAGGAATTCAAAGCATGGGAAGGACTCAACCCACCATGGCTGGCTTTGAAGGGTGGGGCGAGGAAGCCCTAAGCCAAGGCATGTTGGTGGCCTGTGGAAGCTGGGAACAACCCTCAGCTGATAGCCAGCAAGAAAACAGGAGCTTTGGTCCTCTACACGCAAAGAACCAAATTCTGACAACAGCCTAAAAAAGCAGGAAACATCCTCTCCAGAGCCTCCAGAAAGGAGCACAGCCCTACCGAGCCTAGATTTTAGCCCAGTGAGGTCCATGGTAGGCTTCTGACCTCAAGAACTAAGATAACAAATGTGTGTTGTTTAAGCCACTATGTTTGTGGTAATTTGTCATAGCAGCCATAGAAAACTATTGGGTTGTCGGAAAAGTCATGATGCATTTTTGCAACAAAAACCAGAAAAAATACGTTATGACTTTTTCCGACAACCCAGTAATATAAGTGCCATGTTTGAGAAGAAACTACACAAGGCTGGGGAAAGAGCACCTGAAACGATGAGCAGAAACAATCTCTGGAGCTGCCAGCAGCCAGAAGGGAAACAGCAGCACTCTCGGCGGCGGGAAGGGGTGCTGCCTCAGTAAAGAAGCAAAATTAGCCCTAGACTAAATGCTACTCTGGTCTCACCGAACAAAGCCGAAAGCAAGACCTGAAAAGATCGAACTGTCCCCAAGTAACTTAGCCACATCCCAGCACCAAGCTCAAGAATAATAACAGGAACACAAAACTATCCAGCACATGGGCCGGCCGAGTGGCGCATTGGTTAAGAGTTGGCTTGGGACGCCAGCTCTGAGCATCAGGGCCCTGGTTCGGATCCCACATGAGGGCCAGTGACGCTGCGCCTTAGCCTACAGCTAAGATGGTGAACAACAGGTCGACCTGGAGCTGGGCTGTGAGTTGCCAGCGATGGCGTAGGCTGCAGCCCCTGCTGCAGTGGGCTGCCATAAGCTACGGTGAGTGGCTAGCAGCCAGTGTGCGCAGGCCGGCAGCTGGCGTGAGCTGCCATGAGCTGCCATGAGTTGCTATAAGTGGCTGTCCAATGGCCGGCAAGCGGCTGCCTCACCCGGGAAGAGCACAATGATAATACCAACATGGGCGAGTGAAGCGACGTCCTCCGCAACTAGACTGAGGAACAAAAGCACAGCAGCTTGTCTGTTCCCCTCCCCCAATTCCACAATTTAAAAAAAAAAAATCTTGAAAAAGAAAAAAAATATCCAGCACCAAAAAGGTAAAATAGCAATGTCTCATATCCAATAAAAAATTACTAGGCATGCAAAGAAGCAAGAAAATACAACCCATAATGAGGATGAGCCAATCAAACTGACACAGAAATGACACAAAGGAAAGAATTAGTAGAAGTAACCAGTTAGCTCAGTTGGTTAGAGCATAGTGCTGATAACACCAATGTTGCCGGTTCAATCCCTTCATGGGCCACTGTAAGCTGCGCCCTCCCTAAAAAGAGTCAACTATGCCATTGTAGCATTAAAGCAATGTGTACCAATGACCATGGCTGTTCCACAATAAAATTAAAAAATAAATAAATGAAAAAAAGAATTAATAGACAAGGATATTTAGACAGTTATTATAACCATATTTCATATATTCCAGAAACCACAGGAAAGACTGAATGTTAACGTAAAGAGGTAAAGTGAAAGGATGGAAAAAGAAAAACGAGGCTGAAAACAGTCATAAGAAAGCTAGAGTGACTATGTTAATATTAAACAAAGTAGATTTCAGAGACAATAATCCCAAATATTTATGCACCTAACAAAAGAGCTTCAAAATACACAAGCTATTAAAAATGCAAGGAGAAATACACAAATCCAAATTATAGTAGAGATTGCAACACACTCTCTTTATAATTCATGGGACACGTATACAGAAAATCAGTAAGGGTTCAAAAGACCTGAACAATACTGTCAACCAACTTGACCAAAGTAGTATTTCTGGAACACTCCATTCATTAACAATAGAATACATCCTTTCCAAAAGCACATGGAACATTTACCACGACTGACCATATTCTAAGCAGTAAAACAAGTCTCAATAAATTTAAAAGAATTCAACTAATACAAAGTAGTGCCTCTGACCAAAACAGAATTAAATTAGAAATCAATAAGAGAAAGCTTGCGAGCTGGACGAGTGGCATGGTGGTTAAGAGCTGGCTTGGGACGCCAGAGGGCCCCGGTTCAGATCCCACATATGAGGGCCAGTGACACTGCCCTCCACAGCTAAGATGCTGAACAACAGCTCAACCTGGAGCTGGGCTGCTGTGAGTCGCCAGCAGCCAGCGTGAGAGGCCAGCAGCCGCTGTGAGCAGCCGTCCAGAAGCCGGCAACTGATCTGCCTCACCTGGGAAGAGCGCAATGATGGTGCCAACTTGGGCCAGTGAAGCAATGTACTCCACAACTAGACTGAAGAGCAAAAAGGACAGCAACTTGTCTGTTCCCCTTCCCCCAAATCCCCAGCGCTGTTCCCATCCCCCAACTCCCCAGTTAATAATAATAATAATAATAATAATAATAATAATAATTTTAAAAAGAAATAGACACATACCTTGAAAAACATAAATTACTGAAGCTTACTCAAGAAGAAATATTAGGTCGTCGGAAAAGTCATGACGCATTTTTGCAACAAAAAACATAGAAAAACACGTCATGACTTTTCTGATGACCCAATAGATAACCTAAATAGCCCTCTATCTAATAAAGAAATTAAACTTGTAGTTTAAAACCATCCCACAGAGAAAACTCTGGACCTAGATGGCTTTCCTGGGGATTTCTACCAAACACTTAAGAAATCATACCAACTCTACACAAATTCTTCTAGGAAAATTAAAAATAAAGGAATACTTCCCAACTGATTCTATCATTACTCTGATAACAAAACCAGAAATATATATTACAAATAATGAAAACTGTAGGCCAAATCCCTCATATACACAAATACAAAAACTCTTAATATTTTATCAAATCATATTCAACAATGTGTAAAAAGGATACTACATCATGACCAAATGAAATTTATCCTATAAATACACGGTTGGTTTAATATTTTTAAGTGCAGCCAATATAATTCACAGCAACAGACCAAAAAAGAAAAACCATATACAGACAGTCCCCAGTTTAGGATGGTTCAACTTATACCATTTTCAACTAGCGTGAAAGTAATATGTATTCAGTAGAAACTATACTTCAAGTTTTGAATTTTGATCTTTTCCCAGGCTAGTGATACGCAGTATGATCCTCTCTTGTGATGCTGGACAGTGGCCGCGAGCATTAGCTCCCTGTCAGCCACGTGATCGCCAGGGTAAACAACAGATAACTCTGCAGTGTAGTATTAAATGCATTTTCAATTTATGAAAATTTCAACTTATGATGGGTTTATTGGGATGTAACCCCATCATAAGTCAAGGAGTATCTGTAATCATGTCAATAAATACAGAAAAGGCATTTGTCAAAATCCAACATCCACCTATAATAAAAATGGTCAGCAAACAAGAATAGGAGGGAACTTCCTCAACCTGATAAAGACCACCTAAGGGAAACCTACGAAACACCATCCTTAAACTAAATGCTATCCCTCTAAGACAGGGAACAAGGCAAGGATGTCTGAGCTCACCACTTCCATTCACTGCCATATTAGAGGGACTAGCCTGTGCAACAAGGCAATAAAAAAAAAGGCATTCAAATTGAAAAAGAAGTAAAACTGTTTTTAATTACAGGTGATGTGATCACTTATGTAGAAAATCCTACGGGATCTACAATTGAGACTAGAATCAGTAAGTCAGGTAGCAAGATCACAGGATATAAAGTCAATATTAAAAAACCAAGTGTATTTCCATATACTAACAATAAACAACCAAAAATTGAAAAACTCTTTTCATTTGCCATTGAGTAAAAAAAATTTAGACATAAATTTGACAAAAGATATGACAAGATAAACAGGATAAACAATACATTAAAACTATCAAATATTGTTGAGAGATATTAAAGAACATAAATGAATGGATATAGGAGGTCTGACAAGTTCGCGAACTTGTTGCAATGATGTTGTTAACCTTTTTTGATATCAGAAGGATTATTCATTATGAATTTGTACCAACTGGACAAACAGTTAACCAAGTTTACTATTTGGAAGTGCTGAAAAGGCTGCGTGAAAAAGTTAGACAACCTGAACTTTTCGCCAACAATTCATGGCTCTTGCATCATGAAAATGCACCAGCTCACACGCACTGTCTGTGAGGGCGTTTTTGGCCAGTAAACAAATAACTGTATTGGAACACCCTCCCTGCTCACCTGCCTGGCCCCCAATGACTTCTTTCTTTACCCAAAGATAAAGGAAATATTGAAAGGGAGACATTTTAATGACATTCAAGACATCAAGGGTAATACAACGACAGCTCTGATGGCCATTCCAGAAAGAGTTCCAAAATTGCTTTGAAGGGTGGACTAGGTGCTGGCGTCAGTGCATAGCTTCCCAAGGGGAGTACTTAGAAGGTGACGGTGGTGATATTCAGCAATGAGGAATGTAGCACTTTTTCTAGGATGAGTTCACGAACCTAATTGTCAGAACTCGTACCATGCAAAGATATCAAATGGATCTACAGATGGAATACATTCCCAATCAAAATCCCAGCAGGCTTTTTGTAGAAACTGACAGACTGATTGTACAATTCATATGGAAATGCAAAGGACCCGGAATAGCCAATAACTCCGAAAAAAAAACTGGAAGACTCACACCACCTGACTCATATGGCCAATTGATTTTCAACAAAGGTGCAAAGGCAATTCAGTAGAGAGGACAGACTTCCCAACAAACAGTCCTGAACAACTGGACATCCATGTATAACAGAACGAACTTCAGCCTACACCTCACACCACATACAAAACTCAAAATGATTCATGATCTAAATGTAAAACTTAAAACTGTGAAACTTCTGAAAGAGGCACCGCCAAGCAAGATACTGTCTAAGCTCCAGTCTGCTGCCCCTGACCCAGGTCAGGCGGTCTGCACACTGACACTCCACATGGGGGTGGCAGCACAGACCCCGCTCTCTGTGGGGACAGACAGACTTATGGAAAACCGAGGTGCATGCTCCTCAGGGGAAGGGGATGCAGAGACAGGGCCAGGTCCGGGAGGCCCCGGGTTCTGCAGGAGGCTTGCTGATACTGACTGCCCACCAGAAGCTTAGAGGCACCATCTCCTTTAGTCCACACAGCCAAGAGGGTCTGAGGGACACACTGCTAGTTAGGTGCTAGTTAGTGGTAGGGCACGACTCAACCAGGACTGGCTCCCACCAGCTCCACTCCAAGACCAGGTCATGGGGGCAGGGTTAGCGGGTCTTCCCTCCCTGCATCGGACGCATGGTAGGTGAGTGAAGGACTGGTTTCCTCCTCGCTCACTTGAACCCAGCTGGCATCCAACCTCATTTAGTGAATGCCCACCAGGTGCCGTCCGGCAGCATATTACCGCTGCCCCAGGACATGGCTCACGCACTGAGCCCGAGGCCGCCATGGGTCTGTCTAGAGGGCCAAGCGTGTGAGGAGATGGGAAAGTCAGGATGCAATGTGGGGTCAGGGGCAAGCCCCACCCACGCAGCAGGTCCACCGGACTCTCCCTCCCTGCACCAGAGCCAAAAAAGGAGTCAACTTCCAGAGTCACCAACAAGAACCTGGGCTGATGACCCGGGAAATGCCGTTGCCAGCTCATCACTCACAGGCCCTTGAGAATGTTACTGCTGAACATACGGCATGCCGAGCTGTGTCACTGGGGTCACAGGCAAACCCGCAAAGCCAGGTGGCCCTCCAGCTGTGGAGGAAGCACGTTTCCCATGACACCCAGCAACTGGAATCCCCTGAGCACTGGCCAGGTGCGCACAGAGCCACAGGAGTGCTCCTGAGCCCCTACCTCGAGGAGGTCAAGTGACTCAACTCGGGAAGGGACTCAGAGATGTGGGACCACTGATCACAGACGAGCAGCATCCCGAGCACTCACCTGGGCCTCAGTGGACCTTGGGTCGGAAAACCGAGCACAGACACTTGCTTACAGCTCTGACACTCAGCTCGCCGCCATCTCCACCCTGACCTCTCCCGCACCCCCGCCTCCCCTGCCTCGTCTTGTGTCGCCATGCACTCAGCTATCGGGGTCAGAAAGCACCACCCCAGTTCTCCCCTCTCCCGCCCACACCCTACAGTCCACTCACTGGCCTCCTTCTTCTCCACCTCTACCACCAGCCCCTTCCAAAGTGGTCCCTGCTCCCAGACTGTCCCCTCAAAGCCAGCCTCAACCCCCACCCCATTTGTCCCCACCACCAGACTGCGGCTCCGGCTTACACCCCCAGGCAAGGCCACTCCTCTGGTGTCTCCCTCAATCCCCTCTGCCCCTCCCACGCCCCTCTGTGCTCGCCTCACTGCACTTGAGCTTACCGGTCACCCCCCCACACACACACACACACACACACACACCCTGCTGGCTGGTAAGGGGAACCTCTGTAAGTGTGTAGTTGGAACTGCCTGCGTCCACAGAGCCCCCTTCTCGGGCCCTAGTGCTGCTGCTCTGCAGCTGTGCTGGGGCTGCGGGAAGTCAGGCCCCCAAATCCAGGCCTAGGAGCAGAGGGGCTGGGGGCCGGCCTCCGCCCAGCACCACCTAGCCCTTCCCTTGACTGAGCTCTGGGCTTCCTCCCGCCCTTCCAGCTTTGCCACCTACACTCTGTGACCGACAGCCCTCAGTGACTTCGGACAAATCATCTCCCTGCTCTGGGTGGTCTCAGAGGAAAGGGAAAGGATACAACAGTCCTGCGCTTGGGGACCCAGGGTTTAGGCTTAGCTTCCCACAGAGAGGACCCCCGGTGTCGCCACTGGGGGGAGCAGGAACCTGGACCACAAGTCCCCAGGGAGGTGACAGGCTCTAGGAGGGGACTTCATGCCCTCAGGGAGGGGACGGGCACCGGCACTCCGCGTCCCACCCTGGAAGGTGATGAGCACCGGGCAAGGGCACCCCGAGTCCTACCCTGACAGAGGACGGGCGCCGGGGACAGTCTCCCGGCGCCGGCGTGAGGAAGCAGGCGAGCGGCTCGGCTGCTGAGTCTCGCTTCCGGGTTGTGACGCGGCAAATCAGGCCTCGCGGGGACCTGGACGCACCTGAGCCCGGGAAGCGGGCGGGCTCGGCCCCGCGACGACCGGGACCCTCCCCGCGGTCGCCCGGTGACCTTGGGGAGGCTCCCCCTGACTCGGCCTCCAGCACGAATAGGCCAAGGTGGCGCCTCAGACCCTCGGGCCCAGGCTCCCCCGAGCGGCGCCTCCGCGAGCGAGCGACGCCGGCCCCCGGTACCCGCCCACCGATTACCTGAGGAGTCGCCGCCGCCGCCGCCGGCGTACAGCCCTCCCGCCAAGCCGCGCACCGGAGTGGGCGGGGCCGCACGTTGAGCCCGCCTCCGCCACCCGCCCTCCGCCAACCGCAGCCCGGCGCGCGGCAGCCCGCACCCCGCCCACCGAACCCCCGCGAGCGGGGCCCCGCGAGCAGGCCCCGTGACCGCGGAGATAGACTGTAGAGCTCCAGCCGAGGGTTCGGTCGGCCATTGCGCAGGCGCGGAGAGCGCCCTCCGACTTCCTCCGCGCAAGACACAGTCGCGTCTCCCACTGCTCGGTGTCCCTATCGGACACTTACACCCCCATGATTACCGCACACAGACACCGCCCAACACACTGGGGGACCCACCAGGGACGCGGGCTCGGGGCGTCATTGCCCCCAAAGCCGGTCCCATGGTAAAAACATACCTGAACAGGTACATGCGCCAGGTGGGCCTGACCTGACATACATACATACAAGGTCTGCCACACATGAACACACACACTGAACACCCAACAGAGACCCCGGCCGCAGACCCCTTCGCGAACAGAAAGCGCACAAGCACACAGGAGGGACACCTTGTTTGCCAACAGACCGTGGGGATCACAATGAGCAGGTGTCTGCGTTTGGGACCTTGGGATCTGGAGAAGCAGATAAGAAGCAGATAATAAGCAAGATCAATAAGTGCTGTGAGGGCCGGCCGAGTGGCGCGATGGTTAAGAACTCGCTTGGGAAGCCAGAGGGCCCCGGTTCGGATCCCACATATGAGGGCCAGTGACACTGCCCTCCACAGCTAAGATGCTGAACAACAGCTCAACCTGGAGCTGGGCTGCCATGAGTCGCCGGCGACGGCGTGGGCTGCAGTCCCTGTGGCAGTGGGTTGCCATGGGCTACCGTGTGTGGCCAGCAGCCAGCGTGAGCGGCCAGCAGCCGCAGTGAGCGGCCGTCCAGAAGCCGGCGACTGATCTGCCTCGCCAGAGAAGAGCGCAATGATGGTGCCAACTTGGGCCAGTGAAGCAACGTCCTCCACAACTAGACTGAAGAAAACAAAATGATAGCAACTTGTCTGTTCCCCTTCCCCCAATTCCCCAGCATTGTTCCCATCCCCCCAATTCCCCAATAAAAATCTTTAAAAAAAAAAAAAATAAGTGCTGTGAAAGGGTACGGCTGGGGGCTGGGAAGAGGAGCCCGCGCTCTGGGCAGCCCCCGGCACCTGCAAAGACCCCAAGGCCAGAACGGAGGAGGGAGTGGCGTTCCACACGCTCAGGAAGTGACTGGGCATTTTGAGAAGGAAGTGGTGGGCAGCCCTGTATCAACAGCCTAACAAGTGTTTGCTTCTTGCTGAAGGTTGGGTCTGCAGAGAGCTGTGAGCGAGGGTGCAGGTGGCAAAGTGGGGCCCCCGAGGTAAACACCTGGCAGGATGCAGCTGAACAGTGAGAAGGGCTTTTTCCACAGAGAGAAGGGCTTCAGCCTGTTTCTGTCTAGGGGTGGAGCCCAAAAGAGGAACAGAACTCTGATGGCAGAGTGAGGTGCTCAGCAGATGGGCCTTCCTCCCCTCAGGAAGAGCCCCAACCCCATCCCCAGTAGCGCATGTGCAAGTTGCCAGGCGGGGAGGAAGGGGCCTCTTCCAAGCTGACACCTGGATGGCTCCTCTCCTGCATGAGCCCTGCCTATGTTCCCCATGGCCAGTACCCAGCATGGCCTGCTGGCCCTGCCCCTTCCACAGCCTCAGCCGGACTTCACTCTCCAAGCACACAAACTGCCTGGCACACATCACAGCCGTCATTTAACTTTAATATTATTAGATTATGAAGGCCCGTCTCTCTTCCAAGTGGTAAGCTCTATGAGAGAAAGGGCATGTCTGCGATTGGCTCCCAAGTGCCCAGCACCAAGCCCACCCTGTGATGGGTGCTCAAGGAATCCCCATAAAATAAGAGGGGTGACATTGGGTGCAGAGAAAGAGGGGGGTAAGAAAGACTTTGCAAAGGGAGTCTGGACAAAGCTGGTGACTGATTTCTGGCCTCCAGTTGTGTTCTGGCACTGGTGGGCTCCCCCACCCATGCTCTTCTGGCTCAGCCTCTATTGCAGCCCACCTGGCTGCCATCTTGGGACCCTCCCCAAGGATGAGGGATGCAGTTGAGATGGTTACTGGTGCACGTTGTCTCTCCCCTTCCTTATGTGCTTAGAAACCCCACTTGCCTTCCTTTGCTCACTCTCCCCACCCCCCAGTTTCTTTAAAGGCCTTTTGTGGCCAGTCACATCCAGGGTGGTCCACAGAGGCCTCACCCTGGCTCTAGCCCTTGAGGGTTCTCACCCCCGACAGTGAGCCCCACACCGGGCAGGGCTGGATCCAGAAAAATGTTCTCAGGGCAGGCAGGTCCTGGGAACAGAACACTCCCTTTGAGGGCACAATGCAGGTGCAGCTCTAGAATCCTCCATTCTAGACTATGCCCTCCCCCGCACCAATCCCCAGCTGTGTCAGCCCCCATCCCCAGCTCTCATTCCTGGTCACTCCCCTGCGTGGGCTCCAGTCCCAGCAAGACTTGAGAAACTTGGCTACAGCCGCTAGGGGGCGCAGGTCCTGCCTGGTCTCCTGGGGCCCAGTCACCCCTGACCCTCCGAAGTTAAGTCAGGCCTCAGCTGTGCCCCACCACCCCAACCTGCCAAGGCCGGTGGTGAACCGGCCTGCACTGGCCCCTTCCGTGGCGCCCTGCCCTCCATGAAGGGCAGCGGCCGGCGAAAGCTGGACCAGCGAGTCTTCATGGAGCAGGTGCGCGAGTGCAGAGACAAGGGCTACCTGCTCTCTTCCAAGATCGGCTCCGGCACCTTCTCCAAAGTCTACCTGGCCTATGCCATGCACCAGAGCATGAAGCACAACCGCAAGCTCGCCTCCGACCTGCAGGGAAAGCGCCACACCATAGTGAGCAGGCCCACCTCCTCCCGTGGGCGGGGGCTCCAGGAGTCCTGTCCAAACCCTAAACCCTACTCGGGCACCTCCCAGCTGCTCTGGCTTCCTCCCAACCCCGCATGCACCCTGGAGGCCAAGGCTCCCGCAGGCTGACCACTCCCAGTTCTGGGACCTCTGAGCACATAAGTGCCTTAGATAGGAGGGAGGGGAAGGTCAGCGCCATCCCCCAGGTGCTGCTTACCCAGCCTCACCCTCCAAGTTCATCGATGTGCACAAAGGACACGGGACCTGTCCTGCTACATCCTGCCCCTGAGGGGCTGTGGTCTGCACACAGTGGCTACTGCCCACCCCACAGGTGGCTATCAAGATCGTCTCCACCACCGAGGCCTGTGTGGAGTTCTCCCACAAGTTCCTGCCCCGTAAGATCTCGTCGCTCAATGCTTCCCTACAAGCACTAGAAGGTGGTGGGCAGAGAGGCCAGGACAGCCCATCCCCACCCTGCCCATCCCGGCGGCCAGCCTGCACCACACCTGCTGCCCACCCCAGGCCTGTCCCCTTCCCCACCTGGGACCCTTGTGCTCGGGCCCTGACCCCATCTTGAGACCCCAATTCAGTGCACTGCACAGCCCCTCCTTGGGGTGACAGCAGGTGGGTGGGGGTCCTGCAGGTGCAGCTGTACGAAACCTAACACAACAGCCAGCGCTCCTACCTGGTGCTCGAGCTGGCGGGCAGCAGTGACCTGTTGGAGCACATCAAAGTGGTATCAGCCCACCACTGCTGCCTGGGGCTGGAGGAGGCAGCCCACAGGCTGTTCTGGCAGCTGCTCAGTGCCGTGGCCCATTGCCACAGCGCGGGCATCGTGCACTAGTAAGGGTGCCATCCAGCCTACCCACCCTCTTGCATGGAGGGGCCCACCTGAGTCCAGGCCCTTCCCCACATAGGGACCTGAAGTGTGAGAACATCCTGCTGGATGACCAAGGTTTCCTAATGCTGACTGGTGAGTCTCTGGGCCAGCCTCTACCCTTGCACCAGCCTTCAACTTCTGCCAGAAGCCCATGCCACCCTTGTCCCAGCCAGGCTCTCAGCCTCTACACTGGTCTGCTCCAGACCGGCTCCCAGCCGGGCTTGACCTTCAGCCCTCCCAGGAGGCCTCCACCCCACCCTTGCCTGCAGCCACACTTGTGGTCACTCCCACATCCCATGCTCACCCCCTCACACCTGTTCCCCTACACCGCCCACCCCACACCTCTGCAGACTTGGGCTTTGCCAACTAGTCAGGGCTTAAGAACTCACTGCTGAGCACCTTCTGTGGCTCCCTGGCCTACACGGCCCCCAAGAACCTCCTGAGCAAGTACAGGGGGAGCAGACTGACCTGTGGAGCCTGTGAGTGCCGCCCCACAGGCACCCTGGCTGGGTGGGGGTAAGGGGTCACGTCCTGAGGAGCCCGTGCCCCCAGGGGCGTCATCCTCTATGCCATGGAGATCGAAGGCTGCGCTTCAAGGAGCTCCAGCCCCACCGTGAGCTGGGCCTGATGCGCCATGGCCCCGCCTTCCAGCCAGGCCTGTCCCCAGATGAGCACTGCCATGTCCTTCCCAAATCCCAGCTTGGGCTTGGGGGTGGACAGCAGGAGACCTGGATCAGAAGGGTCATCCTGCACAGTGGATGGAGTAGTGGTGAGGGAGAAGCTGGGCTGGGGGCGGGCCTGCCTCAGACTCACCTCAGGAAAGGCGGTGGCCCTGCTAGGCTCCAGGCCCAGCTCTGCACTAGCCCAGGGCTAGCCGCCTCACCTCTCCTCTCGGTGCCTCAGTCTCCCCACCAGTGATAGCGGACGCCCTCCTACCGATCCCTCCAAGCTGCCAGCATTGCTGACGGGGATGCGCATGGGCTGGGGGTGCGGGGGCAGCAGCCGTGAGCCCTTGCCTGCAGAGTGCCATGACCTGCTCCAGGCCTGCTCCAGCTGCACCCGCACGCACCTGGACCTGCAGCAGGTGGCTGCACACCACTGGATGCTGCCTGCCGTGCACATGCTCGTCAGCACCACAGTGCTCCACGCTGCGCCAGGTGGGGCAGGGCCCCAAGCTGGGGCAGGTGGGCTGCCCCTCAGCACCCATCGAATCCCCCACTGCGGTCCATAGCAGAGAGGCTGGCGGAGTTCCAGCGCCCAGCACCCTTGGACGTGGAGCCCGGCGAGGAGTCAGAGCCCCCAAGGCTGCTCCTGCAGCTGCATAGCTCGCAGCAGCAGGGCACCCCTGAAAGAACCTCTGCTCCAGCACCTGAGTCCCCGGAGGCCTGCCAGAGAAGAGGTGCAGGCTGTGCTGGGGCTCCGGTGCACTGCAGCAGCCAGCCAGGGCTGGGCACCCCCAGGCAGCCACTATCACTGCTTCATGTCTGCCATCAGAAGCGTGCTGGAGCGCTACAGGGTCAACTGAGGGTGGGTGGGTAGACAGGGTGAAGGCCAGATAAACCGTTTATTCTGTGAAGCCATGGGTGTGGACGTCTCTATGCAGGAAGAGGACAGCAGGCCTTGGAGCACTGGTGGTGCTCCGGAACAAGAGAGTCTACACACCTCCGTGCCAGAGCTTTAATTGGGGCAGGAATACAGAGACCACGGAGGAGGGAGATAACCCGCACCCACGAGGATATCCACGTCCCTGGGAGAGCACAAGCAGAGTTGACCTCCAGCCCTGGAGGCAGTCCTAGGACTGAGGACATATGCACTGGGGGTGCTGAGAACTTCTGGAAGCCAAGCTGCACTGTAGCACCACGATGCAAGGGAAGGGTCCTGTACAAAATATGGCAGACCCAGGAAGGAGGCAGAGTGGTGTGAGGGCCACACTGACAGCCTGCCAGTGACAGCCTACAGAGTTTGGCCTAGCAGACGCAGAGTTCTCAGCAGCGCCCAGCCTCTGAGCAAGGGGACCCAGAGGCCTCCAGGAAGCTGCAGGAAGTAAGCGTGGGCCTGGAGCTGGGGACCAGCTGCAGGGGTCTCAGCGGGGAGCAGCACCCTCTGCTCGGGGCTCTGGGGCCAGCTCCTGCTCCTGCTCCTGCTGTTCCCGCTTACAATGCTCCTGCTCCTGGAGGTCCAGCTGCTGCAGCTGCCGCTCAACGTCCTCGGGCACCTGCACCTCTAGCAGGTTCTCCATGCCATGCTCCGGCTCATCCCCAATAAGCACCTGTCAGCAGGGGAGGCAGGTGACCAGCTGGCGGGCACATCTGGACACTACCCACCCTGCCCCACCCCCGCCAAACCCTGCACCCACCTGGATGAGTTTCTCACACGTCACTCGCACGTGGGGCTCTGGCTCCCAGCTGTGCAGCTCACGCAGGATCAGGTAGGCTCCCTGGTCCCTCACTTGCTGCCGACCAGGTGCGGTGGCTGTCAGCTAGGGAAGGGCAGAGGTTAGTCAGACGCCAGTAGGGCCATGCATGTGTTGGAGGTGAGATCCCTGCAGCAGAAGCCCTGCTCACCAGCATGATGGTCTCCATGAGCATCTTGCGGATGGCAGCATCAGGCTCCCGCTGCTTGTCTGGCGGCAGGTACTGCAGGTCCACGGGCAGCCCTAGGGGCGAATGTGGCAATCGCTATATCTGCGCTCGGGTGCCAGGCGAGACCCTGCCTTTGGCAGCCCTGTCTGTGCTCAGCAACTCCCAGCTAGGAGGTTCTAGAAAGCGCCCTGATCTGGACAGTCCCTCCCTCCCTCTTACTATTGGCCTCCCCTCCGCCTGGGCAACCGGAGACTCCAACCAAGCCACTCACGCTCCATCTCCTCCTCAGAGAAGTCCTCAGGCCCTGCCAGGGGCAGTAACAAGAAGGGGAGAATATCCACCTCAGGACCGAGCAACCATTCGTGGTGTCCTGGGTGGGTGGGTGGGTGGGGAAACAGGGATGAGGGGCCAGTCAAGAAAGGCTCCAGACTCGTCTCTCCCCTCCTCGCCCCCACTGCAAAGTCCCACCACCACTCACGGTGCTCGAAGCAGCAGTTTCGTAGCGTCCCCACCACCCCGCCCCTGAGCACAGTGGAGTCTGGGTATTGGGTAAGGGGCAGCAGCCGCTGGATCACGCACCTGAAGGAAGGAACTACTCAGTGCTGTCCCTGCTCACTTCCACCCCCTCCGCGCATGGAATCCTGGACTTCACCTGTTGGGGTCCAGCAGGAAGGCGCGCGCCCCGGGACGCTGGCTGAGGTTGGAGAGCACCGGCCCCAGGTAATGCAGGGGCGCGCGGGCGTTGTAGCCGGGCGTGCACAACGCGTGCACCAGCCGCTCCAGGCCCGATTCCCCGGGCTCGGCGGCCCCCAGCGCCTCCATCAGCGCGGCACACGGCCCCGGCTCGCGGCTGAGGTTGGCCAGCACGGCGGCCGCTTCGTCGGCCCAGTGCCACTGTGGGTCCAACGCGCAGCTCAGTAGGCGGGCTGGGAGCTCGGGCTCGGCCGCCAGCAGCGGATCGTGCAGGCAGGGGTCGGCGGCCAGGTTGACCAGGGCGCGGGCGGCGTCGCGGGCCGGGGCTGGGGCCGGGGCCGCCGCCAACTCGACCAGAGCCCGCAGCAGCGCCGCCTGGCCGGCCAGCAGCGTGCGTCCCGGCCCCGAGCCCGTCAGCGCCAGCACATGCTGCGCGGCGGCCGCCTGTAGGTCCGCCCGCGCCGCGGGCATCAGGAAGGGCAGCAGCTTCGCCGCCTCCGCCTCTGCCTCCGGAATGAGCGACCCTGTGGGGCCGACGCCATCAGCCGACACGCCCGCGTCCGCCGCGGCCTCCCGCATGCCGACTGGCCCTTCACACTTGGGCCGAGGTAGCTCAGCTCCAGTTCGTGCGCCCCGCCCCGCCCTGCGCGGCCACGGAGGCCACGCCCACCAGGAAAGCGGAAGCCGCATTGACCAATCCAAGGTTGAGGACTCTGCACAAGGGGCGGGACCACCGATTGGAGGCGGGGCAAACCAAGGCCCGGGAATTGTGGGAGTGGGCGCTCGGCCGGAAGCGGCCTACCTGGGTGCTAGAAGCGGCAGCGTTGGGGGTCCCAGAGGGACAAACATTGAACCCCCGATATGGCAGCACCCCCTCGGTATGACCCGCCAGCCACTGATAGCAGACTGATGGCAGTGGCCCTCGTCCATCATGGATTGGGCAGAGACCCATCTTCACTCGAACAGACACATGAGTAATTACGTTGACTCTGTAATGTAGAACCGGCCGTGGGTTCCTAGCATAATCTCCTTTTTTGTTCATGATATATTTTCATGTCTCTATATTATTATTGTAGTCAATTTGCTAAAATTCTGTTTAGAATTTTTGCATCTGTGTCCATGAGGGATATTGGTCTGTGGTTTTCCTGTAATGTCTTTGTGTGATTTTGGTAGCAGGGTGCCGGAGAGAGGCTCTCTCCCCGTCGAGGGGTACCCGCGCTTTTGGGAGTTGGAAGAAGATACGTGGAGCCGTAGGAAGCGACGTCTTTATTCAAGAAGTGGCATGCTTCTACACTGACCCTCTAGGCATCACCGGCCTGGTACAAATGGCTGGGTTTTATACAGCGTGAGAACAAAGGCGGCACATTGCCAAAGGTGCTTACATAAAACAGAACCATAAACATCTGTAAGGTGAACGGCGCCTGCGCTGCGTTCCACCTGCCTCCGGCGGGTCGTTGCACTGCCGCTGGGCAGCCAGATGAGGGAGCCTGACCGACTCTTTCAGCCCTGCTCAGGGTTATGCTGCCCTCAGAAAGATGGGAGAGGAAGGAATCCTCCAATTCAATTTTCTGCAAGAGTTTGTAAAACTCGTATTATTTCTTCCCTAAATGTTTGGTAGGAGTCCCCGGTGAAGCCATCTGGGCCTGAAATTCTTTCTGGGAAGATTTTTCAACTACAGATTCAATTCCTTGAATAGCTACATGGCTATTGATGTTGTTGATTTCTTCTCAGGTGATTTTTGGTAGCCTGTCTTTCAAGGAAGGAGTCCATTTCATCTGAATTTGCTGAATTCCTTGGCAAAAATCTCTTCATAATGTTCCCTTTCTAGCCTGTTACTATATGCAGAGTCTGTAGTGCTGTCACCTCTTGTTCTGATACGGATAATTTGTGTCTTTTTGTCAGTATTGCCAGAGGTTTGTCAATTTTGTTGATCTTCTAAAAGAACTACCTTTTGGAGTCATAAATTTTCTCTATTTTCTTTTTCAATTTCATTGATTTCCACCTTGACCTTCCTATTTCCTTTCTTCTGATCACTTTGTTGTTCTTTTTCTGATTTCTTAGGGTAGACGCTGAGGTCATTGATTTGAAACCTTTTTTCTTTTCTATTATAGGGTTTCCCCCCATTTATTCTTTGACTTGTGGATTATTTGTTATGTACTTTACTTTGATATAGGCTATAAACCCCTTAATAGATTGATATTTTTATTTCACACTGAGGACTAGCACGAAGCCTCTAGGGACAGTGATGTTTAGGAGAGCCACTCACAGGGAACAGGCATGCCCCTGAAATCCATAGGTCATAAGATCCCAGGCCTGGGATTTGCCCCCGGCTAAGACCCACGGGAAGGGCACTTCATAGCCTCAATCCCACCTAACCTCGATTGAAAGTCCCGTAGAAACTGAGAAAGAGGGTAGATGAGTCCAAGGAAGTGCCACTTCTCAAAAAAAAACACGTGTTGGGGACACACAGGTCCTGCCCGTAAGAGATGAACATTTCTCAAGAAATGGAATTGGGGAAAAAAAACTTAAAAAAAAAGAAATGGAATTGAAGTATTTTGGATAAACTAGGTAAATGATGCCCCCTGGTGGGTACTTTGGACTGAGACAAAAGTGTACACCTTCAGAGCCCACTGGCTCTAGAAGTGTTTACAGTAATCACCAGCTAAGTAGCCTTAACTGTTCACACGAGAAATAGTTTTGGGGAGTAATTTCAAAGTTAAAGAAAAGTTACAAGAGCTATGCAAAGAACTCCCATATACCTTTAATCCAGCCACCTCAAATTCCCCACCTACACTAGTTACCCCAATAAGGACCTTTTAGCAGAAGTTGTCATGTCTCTTCAGCCTCCTTCAGTCTGGAATAGCTCTTGAGTCTTTCTTGGACTTTCATGCCCATGACAAAGAGCACCGGCCAGCTATTTTGTAGTATGTTCCTCCATTTGCATATGTCTGGTTGCCTCATGATTAAATTCGGGTTATGCATTTATGGCAGAAATTCTGTGACTGTGAAGCTGGGTTCTCATCATCGCGTCCCATCAAGTGGCACAGTGTCAATATGTCCCAGTGCTGGAGATGTTTATTTTGATCTCTTAATTATTAAGATGGAGTCGCCCAGGTTTCTTCACTGTCAGGTTACTGTTTTTCTTTTTGTGTTTTATAAAGGCCTCCCAGGTGCTGCGGCTTCTGCTCTAGTTCGTAACCCCCTTAACCCTGGAAACCACTTACCCATTTTTCATCTCTAGAATTTTGTCACTTTGGGAATGGCGTAAATGAGATCATACAGTATATGATCTTTTGAGGTTGGCTTTTTTCCACTCGGCATAATTCTCTGGAGAGTCGCCCAGGTTGCTGTGTGTGTCACCAAGGTTCTCACCTTTATTGCTGAGAATACGCAGTGGTGTGGGTGTACCAGTTTGGTTCAAGTCATCTGTTTGAGGACCTTTATGTCATTTACAATTTCTGGCTATTACCAATGAATCTGCTGTAAACAATAGTGGACAGATTTTTGTGTGGACACTAGTCTTTCTCCCTCTGGGACAAATGTCCAGTAGCATGATTGCTGACTTGTAGGTAATGGCATACTAAGTTTTCAAGAGACTGCCAAATTGTTTCCCGGACTGCCTGGGCTGTTTTCACTCCCACCAGCAGTGTGTGCTGATCCACTCACTCCACATCCTCTCCAGCATTGGGTGGTATTGCCGTTTCTCATGATACTTTTTTTTTTTAAAAGATTTTATTGGGGAATTGGGGGAGGGAGACAGCGTTGGGGAATTGGGGAAGGGGAACAGACAAGTTGCTGTCCTTTTGTTCTTCAGTCTAGTTGTGGAGGACGTCGCTTCACTGGCCCATGTTGGTATTATCATTGCGCTCTTCCCGGGTGAGGCAGTTGGTCGCCGGCCACTGGACGGCTGCTCACAGCAGCTCTTGGCAGCTCACGCTGGCTGCTGGCTGCTCACGCTGGCTGCGGGCCACTCACAATAGGTTATGGCAGCCCACTACAGCAGGGGCTGCAGCCTACGCCGTCTCTGGCAACTCACAGCAGCCCAGCTCCAGGTTGAGCTGTTGTTCACCATCTTAGCTGTAGAGGGCGCAGCGTCACTGGCCCTCATGTGGGATCCGAACCAGGGCCCTGCTGCTCAGAGATGGTCTCCCAAGCCAACTCTTAACCAACCCGCCACTCGGCCAGCCCTCTCATGGTACTCTTAATTGGCATTTTCCTGATGGCTAGTGACGTGGAGCGGATCTGTATGCTCATTTGCATCTGCATCTCCTCTTTGGGGAAATGTTTCTTTGTCTTTTGCTCGTTTTCCAGTGGGATCATTTGTTTTTTACAGTTCATTTTGAGAGGTGTTCGGATATTGTAGACATGTGTCCTTTGTGGATGTGTCATTTGCAGATATTCCCTCCCAGTCTGCAGCTTGTCTTTTCATCCTGCTAACAAGGCTTCCACAAAGCAAAAGTTTTACAATTAATCAAGTCCAATTTATCGAATTCTTTTCTATACAGTGCCTTGGGAGTCATGTCTAAGAGCTCTTCACCAACTGCTAGGTCCAAAAGGTTTTCAATGTATGTTTCCTTATAAAATTTTTATAGCTTTACATTAAATATATATGATACACTTTGAGCTTTGTCTTTGATTTTGTCTTTTGCCATATATATATCTTTAATCAGCAAATATGTCTATCTTTTCCTTCTGAGTTTTCTGATTAATATTTTTTCTAAATTACCTGATATAGTTTTATTTTCCACATTCCAGTCAGCAAATCATCTGAAAAGTACTCCTGTAAATGATGTGAGGAAGGGGTCCAGCTTTGTTTTCTGTCTGCTTGCTTTGTGCGAAGCACTGCTCCTCAGTGCTTGAGCTATAATAAATCCTCAGAGCAGCCCTGTGAGGTATCATAGCATTATTATCCCCCTTTCATAGATGAGGAAACTGAGGCTGAGAACTTAGGTAACTTGCTTAAGGTCACAGTTAGGAAGTGGAGCAAATACAGAAGGGGGCCAAAAAATATATGTACACATTTTAAAGGAAAAAACTGTTATTAATTGTAATACTCAATATATACTAATAACAAAAGATGAATACAAGTCACGTTTGACTTCTGCAATTAGCTCAAAGTGGTTACCATCAGCATCCAGACACTTCTGATTATGGCAAACATTGTTTGGCAGACTTCTGTGGCGAGTGTGTAAACAGTTCCAACACCATGACAAAAGAAGCAGGACTTGTTGTGTGAGACCCCCCGGATCATCCCTTGTGCACATCACACACAGTACCATGTGTCTCAAGCTCATCATGAATGCGTGCAATTTTTAGGCGTTTTGGAGCTTTTGTCGCACACTCATGCCTCCATTGTCATTGTACTTCCACAACATTCTTGAATTTCAAATACCACTTCAAAATACTCTTGTGCTCCTCGAATAACAACCGTGCTTCCACCATTTTCTCTGACTGTCCTGCCTATCCCATGGTGACACTAGCATTCATTTGATTAATGCCATCTTCTAAGCAAACATCATACTACACATTGGTACCGTAATTCAAATCAACTTCAAAAAGTAATACACAGATAACATCTCTTAAAATGTGTTTTTGGCACCTCTGGTATATATGTATTTGCTATTTTGACTTCTTCCATAGTGAAGGTCCCATTCTAGCTTTTTGTACATTTTTCTAATGGGTTGTGTGATTTTTCTTAGTGTTTTTGATTTGTAGAAGTTTTTTATATGTGTATTTTGGAGATGAGCCATTTTTAGTTACATGTATTACAGATAGGTCCTCCCACTCTGTGTCCTGCCTTTTTACTCTCTTAATGGTACATTTAGGTTAACAGATTTCTTAATTTAAAAATAACTATATATTAATGTGGATTAAACATATATTAATATTGTCCTCTATGACTAGTGTTGTTTTTTTTTACCTATTTACACACTTGCCCTACTTTCACATGTTTGTATTTTTAAAAGCACGTATTGCTTTTATAATTTTTTTTTTAAGATTTTATTGGGGAATTGGGGAAGGGGAACAGCGCTGGGGAATCGGGGAAGGGGAACAGACAAGCTGCTGTGCTTTTGTTCCTCAGTCTAGTTGTGGAGGACGTCGCTTCACTGGCCCATGTTGATATTATCATTGTGCTCTTCCTGGGTGAGGCAGATTGGTCTGCCTCTGGACGGCCGTCCACAGCGGCTCTTGACAGCTCACACCGGTTGCCAGCTGCTCACGCTGGCTGCCGGCCACACACGGTAGCTTATGGCAGCCCACTGCAGCAGGGGCTGCAGCCTATGCTGTCGCAGACCACTCATGGCAGCCCAGCTCCAGGTTGAGCTGTTGTTCACCGTCTTAGCTGTAGAGGGCGCAGCGTCACTGGCCCTCATGTGGGATCTGAACCAGGGCCCTGCTGCTCAGAGCTGGCGTCCCAAGCCAGCTCTTAACCAACGAGCCACTCGGCCGGCCCTGCTTTTATAATTTAAAACATGAAAAGCAGTGGAGGTGGACTGCCACGAGCCACACAGCCCCTTTTATAAAATGTCAAGTCTTGCAGTTCTCTGGGCCAGGCGCTTCTGGTCCTGCGAGCTGAGAGAGCCACCCATTCAGCAGCCCCATAACCAGAGCACAGCTAGGGGGTTGTGGGGAAGGAATGGCAGACCAGCTGTTAACTAGAAAGCCACAGAGAAGAAACTTCTAGTCAGAGGCTGAAAATACATGAAAGAAATCGCTGCTCAGGAAGCCCAATAGAAGGGTGTAAAGAGCTAGAACGGGCCCTTCCCAAAAGCAGTCCGAATAGCCCATGCACACGTGGGTCCCTGCGAGGTCACGGCTGCTCAGAAGGAAGCCGAGGCCCTCTGAGAAAGAACCTACACTTCACAGACAAGGTCTGCGTCCTGGAGACTTTTAGGTTGAAGGGTCCAGAAGATGTTGTCCCCTTATTGCTTATTGGATAAAGCAGGTGGGGCCCCTTCCAGCCTAAAGGTAACAAAGTGCCAACAGACTCCTGGTTTCACGGGCATCAAACGACTGCAGCCGCCCCCACACCTGTGGCCACTCAGACCCCTCTCCCTTGCACACCTGGCCGCTCACTTGACCCCAGTAATTGACCGATAAAGGTTGGCTGAGTGCCTCATCAGGGACACACCCACGTTATGGGTCCCGGCTCGGAGTAGATAGGCCCACCCCCAGCAGCATCGCTCGCCCACTGTGTGCTGACCACGCCCCAGATCCTGTCCCACCAACTCCACCGTGACCCTGTCTCCTGCCTCACACACACGACTGGCCACTGGCAGGTCATGACACACCAGCTGAACCTCCCTGCCAACCCCAGCAGCCCCAGAGATGGAGGCAGCACCGTTTGCTGGCCATAGCCTCTGGACTTTATTCCAGCTCTGGCTTTGGCCAGAGGCAAATAGCCATGGAAAGAGCCTCATCCTGACTCCATGCTGAAGGAGCGGGAGGCTGGGAACAGGGTGAGGCCGAGGTCGCCAGCCAGGTCAGCTGTAGTTGTGTGGGTCCGCGTGGTCAGGCAGAAAGTAGCGCTGCAGGGCAGGCTGCAGGAGCAGCGGGGGCAGCGGACGGGCAGGCCTGGGCCAGTCCGGGGGGAAAGGCTGCAGGTCCACCCGTGGCAGTGGCAGCTTCAGCATCCGGATGGAGCCACTGAGGGTGCGGCCTTCCCAGAGCTGGGACATCATCTGGCCTGGGGCCAGCAGGACAGCCCAGTGGGACTCAGGCCGGGGTGGGGGTGGAGGTCAGGGTCCAGTCTCTACCCCCGTCCCCACTCACCCCTCAGGCTCATTGGAGTCCTCTGGATCTTGGTCTTCGGATGCCGTACGATGGGGTGCCTGGGAGAGAGGGGGGTAAAAGGGTGGATTTCACTAAGCCAGGCCCTCAGCCACCCCACGCAGGCCCTGCCCCCGCCCATGCCTGGTGCCCCTTGGCAGCTCACAGGCGATCCCAGGGCTGTGGCTGTCGAGCGCGGGGTGTGGGTGTCGAGCGCGGGGAGCATGGGCTCAAGGACGGGCTCTCAGGCTCCTCCCGCAGGGTGACTCGCTGCCGCACCCGCTGCAGCTCACAGAAGAAGTTGAGCGCATCAATTGGCCCCAGGTCCAGCATCTTCGACTGTGACCATTGTGTCTGCTCCAGGGGCAGTGTCTCATCAGGCAGTGCGGCCGGCGCGGAGGAGCGCAAGCGGGGCTCAGGCAAGGCGGAGAAGGGCAGTAGTGTCTCGGAGAGTGGGCGTCTGGTCCGCTGGAGGTGCATCTCTGACAGCAACCGCTGGGCCTTGGGCTCCAGTGTGGCCAAGCCTGACTCCCCAGGCGAGACCGCCAGCGAGGGCGTCCAGGAGATGCTTGAGAGTGTCTCGGAGGTGTAAGCAGGTGCCCCGGATACCACAGAAATCTGAGATGGGGCCTCCTTGGGAGGGGGTGTAAGCACCGAGGTCTTGGAGACCTTGGGCAGCATGTCTGACAACTTGGCTACTGAAGGCTGCAAGGTTTCCATCTGTGGGGGATGCAACCGGTGGAGGACGCACCAGGGCCCAAGGCAGAGGCTGCCCTGGCCCCAATGGGAGGCGGCGTTGTGCTGTTCCTGGCTCCCAGCCTGACCCCTCTGCAGACTTCCTCCCAGGGAGGAGCAGGAAAATGGGGAGAGATGGGGTACCCAGGAGGACAGGGAGGCACAGAGCTAGAGTGAGGCAAGGAGCCTACCAGCCTCACCTGGCTGTCCTCCCTTGACTTGGGGCAAGCCGTGGGAGAAGGCAAGAGGCTCCAGGGGCAGGTGGCCTACCCCACCCCTGCCCAACCAGACCTGCAGGGGCTGAATCATTTCTTCCAGCTTCTGGCTACAGCAATTGCGCAGTGCGGCCTTGGAGTCCAGGTCCTGGCCCCCGACCCAGGTCATCATCTCCTTGAATAGGAAGCCTTCCGGGTCCTGAAGGCCTAGCCCGTCCAGCAGCTTCTTGAGCTCTGGCCTGCGACAGGTGAGGGCGGCTTATTCTGAGGCCCCGAGCAGGTGGGAAGGACGGGCAGAAAGGGGCCTCACCGGCAGGCAGCTGGTGAGTAGAGGAAGTACGACATGAGTTCCAGCACCACCTCGCGGGACTCCAAGGAGCAGGCCAGGAGCAGCTGTAGGGCTAACATCACGAACTGCTTCTGCGTCTTGTCCTGCGCACAGACGGGTGGAACGCGGTTGGTGCCCGAGGCCCGGGGCGGAGCTAGGGGCGGAGCTAAGGACGCACCTGGAGGCTGGGGGGCTGGTCCAGGTTGAGCAGGTGCAGGAGTATGCAGTGCAACCGGCCACAGAGGTGTTTGCTCACGTCGGGCAGCAGCCTCAGCAGTTCGTGTAAGATGTGCACGCGGTCCGCCCAGGAGGCCTTCTCCAGCCTGTCCATGAGCAGTGAGGCCAGGCCCTCCACCGTGCCCACCCCGGGGTACGCCTGCAGAGACCGCTGTGAGGCCCTACCTCCTGGGCGCTCCAGCCCCCCCTCCTCCACCCGAGCCTGTACTTCCCAGGCGTCCAAGACTCCCCGAACCTTCAGCGTAAAGTTGGGGAACAGCCTTTTGAACCAGTTCTGGATGACCAAAAAACGCAGGAACTTGGCCCGATGTGCATAGCGCGAGCGCTTGTGGCGGTACAGGCGGCGGCGGAAATAGGTCTCAGTCCTGGTGTCATCGTCACTGGAGCGCCTCCGCGTCCAGGACTGGAAGCTCTGGGAGGGGGAAGCGGCGGAGGCTGCAGGCCCTGCCTCTCTGGCCCCACTCCTCCCGCCGCAGTCCTGCCAGGGGCGCCCACCTGAGCTGCGGGCTCCTCAAACTCCAGCAGCTCATCGGAGAGCTGCGTCTGCGGGCTCAGGGAATCTGAGGCCCAGCCCAGATCCAGCTCGTCCTCGTCCTCGTCCTCATCCTTGTCCTCGTCCTCGTCCTCTTCCTCTTCCTCTTCCTCGTCCTCATTCTCACTCTCGTCCTCGCCCTGGCCCTCTTCCTCCTCCTCCTCCTCCTCCTCCTCCTCTTTCTCCTCCTCCTCCTCCTCCTCCTCCTCACCCAACCACTGGATCAGCTTCTGGGGCCACGTGGTGCGGCGCCGCCTGCCCCACCGTCTGCCCCACCGTTGCTGCCGCCACAGGTCGTTCTGGCTCCGGCCTGGCTGCAGAGTGAAGAGCGCCCACTGGCCAGCTGCAAGGCCTTGGCCCCTCCTGCAGAGCCTCCCTGAGCCCCACTGGGGTGAGCCTCCCAGCCCCACCCCTTGCCTTGAGTGTGCCTTCACTGGTGAGCTGGCTGAGGGCTCCACAGCCCCTGACCTCACTGGGCAGCCACATTTGCTGCAGCACCACAGAGTTGGGGATCCAGCCCGGGAAGTGGATGGGCCGCAGTGAGTACTGGAGGTGGAACACAGCGGGCCAGGTGGAGAACCTGAATTCAGCCCCAGCCCAGAAACCGCCCTGGCATAGCACCCCAGCCTACCGGCCCCCCAAGGGCTGAGCTGGGCTCCCACCCCTTGCCCACAACACACAGACAGAGAGAACCTTCAGCAGTCAGGGCAAGGGCAGTGAGCCCTCAACTGTGGTAACCGAGGAGGGAAATCTGGGTCACCTGACACCCCCACATGCTCTCCACAGGACTTGGCCCACAGTCCTGGGCAGGGATAGCTATAGGAGAGGTGGGGATAGGAGCCTGAAGAGTGGCTGGCTGGGGCTTAGGTACATGGTGCAGCAGCTGGAAGGATCAGTGGCCACCTGGAGAGGTGACAGTGCCAGATTCATGCTAGGGGAGGGGCTGAGGCCTGTCTGGGCATCTACATGGAAAGGCCGCGGGTTGCACAGAGCCATCGCCCATTGACTTTGCTCCTCTGAAGGAAGGGGACCATGGTCTCCAGACAAAGTCCAAAGGGGACCCGCTCACCCAGCACTTTCGCTGGGGAAGGTACGCAGGGACAACCAGCTGGCAGAGGTTCCCACTTTGCTCAGTGTCTGCTTCCAGAACACAAGTAGTCAGGGCCCCCAAAGAGCAGCAGCATCAAAACTGGGTGGGCAGGGGAGGGCGTGGGGGCAAGGGCTGCAGGTGGGCATGGACCTAGGGTCAGATCTGGACACAGGGTTTGCAGCAAAGGGAAGATGGGATGCACAAGGGTGACGCCTGGAGGGAAGTGCCTCTGGGGAGAGCACGATGTGTGTGTCTCACCTTGTAGGACTGAATGGTGTCAGGAAAGAAGCCCCCGAGGGTGGAGAGAGGCTCCTTGGGCCGCTGTTTCAGCAGCATGGAGATCTGGGGTGGGACAGGGCCTCAGAGCCAAGAATGGACCCCAGCGCCCCAGCAGCTCTGTCTAGGTGGGCAGCACCCCACTACCTGGGCCCCTCACCCTGTGCTGCAGATGGGATGATGGTGGGTCCAGGGCCACAGGCATCCTCCCGCCCCCCCCCCGCCCCCCAGAGCTCTCTAACTGCAGCTATAGGTCCAGACTGAGCCCCAGGTCGCAGCTCAGGGAGGACCCGGCCAGCAGTGAAACACGGGAGTAAGAGTTACAGGGTAAAGGGCAGGGGCAGGTGGTCAGGGCAGAGGGTGAGAGGCCTCACCTGGGATACCCTGCTGTGCACACCCCTGTGGGTGGGTGGGAAGGGCAAGGTGACTCGGGGAGGGTGGGCAATGCGCTGACCCAGGGTCCTCCGGTCCTGTGTGGGCAGGGCTGTTGGTGCCGTGGGGGCTTCAGTGCAGACCCCAGCCTTCCTGAGACTGGGGGCAGCTCTGGGCAGGGCACATACAGTCCAGGTGTCTCTCTCCACTGTGAAGGTCACAGTGCTCTGCCGCTGGAGCTTTGTCCCAGAATGCATGCCCTGGGAGAGGTGGCAGCGCAGGGAGGTGGTGTCAGAGGTCCAGGGCAGGGGAGAGGCTGGGGTCAGGGCTGGCACTGGGGGAGGCCTCATACCCACCAGCAGGCCTGGGCCGTAGATCAGACGCAGGTAGTTATGAAAGGCCTCCTGGCTCTGCTGCCTGGAGGGTGGGGGCTGGGCTGCTGGGACCACCAGCCCCAGGCTCAGCTGCTGAAGGTCTTGGTCCCGGGTAGCTAAGGCTTCCAAGTCCTGGGGGTGGGGGTCAGGGGTCAGTCTATTCCTTCTTGAGCCCTGCCATGTGTTGCCCAGATAACCACAGTGAGCCCAGGCCTGCCCCAGGAGCTGAAGGGGAGTGGCCTGAGCTGGGTCAGGTCAGGGCTGGGGCACTGGGGTATGGAGGGGACAGGAGCCACCAACCTCCTCCAACAGTGGCTGCTGAGGTGCTGCCTTCTGGAGATGGATGAATGACAAATCTGCGCTGCAGACAGGGGTGAGCACAGGTGGGACACTGAGTGGCATTACCAGTGGGACTGGGCAGAGCCCGGGACACGGACCCAGGAGTGTGGCCAAGCCCTGGTGGGGCACAGGAGACAGCCAGGAGTGGAAATGTCAGGGCTGGGACAGGCTTGAGGTGGCTGGAGGTGCTTGGGAGCCCTGGGACCTCGTCCTGACCCAGAGGAGCTGGGTGGGGCCTCAGGACAGCTCAGTGGGCCTGCCAGCAGACCTGAGGCTGGCCACCCCGTGCAGACTGGCGAGTCTCTGCAGATGGGCTGAGGTCAGTGACTCCTGGCTGGTCAGCAGCAGCGGAGGGTCATCCATCCGCTCAGGGACCTTCCCACACAGCTTCTGAGCAGGGGAGAGGAACCTGGAGCCCTGGCCTAGGAGGCCCGTCTGCCCACAGCAGCCCTCCCCACCCACCCTGTGCTCACTGCACACCTTAACCAGGTAGGACGTGGGCAGGTAGAGCCTGTGAGATACCAGGCAGAGGCGAGAGCCCAGCGCCAGCACCAGGTCCCCACTGTTGCTGCAGAAGGTCAGGGCCTGAGGGGCGCCATTCAGCTTCAGGAGCCTGCAGGGGTGTCCAGGGCAAGATCCAGCCCTGCTCCAAGGAGCAGGGAACAGAGGCAGCAGCAGGAGCAAAGCCCTCTCCCCCCAGTTTAGCTGCAGCTCTAGTGGGGCGGGGAACCCTGCACCCAGACCCCCTCCCGGTGGCTCTCCCTCCCTCAGGGCCCAGCCCACCGCAACAGGCGGTTCTTCACTGTCCAGATGCGGACGGTGCAGTCCAGGCTGGAGGAGGCATACAGCTTGAGTGTGGGGCAGCAGCACAGGCCTGGGGGCCAGGACTCACTGTCAGGGACCACAGGCACATGGTGGCCTGGGCTTCACCTTTGCCCTGCCCCCGCACCGGTGATGTGGTCCGTGGGGTCGTCCTGGGGCCCGTGATCGCAGCGCCCGCTGTTGCCCAGGCCGAACTGCACCAAACCATAGGTGGCACTGTCCGGGTCCTCAAAGGCCACGGTGACACGCTTCCCAAGCACACAGAGCACCACAGCAGGGTGGCAGCAGGAGAAGGTGCGCAGCAGGCTCAGGCTCTCCTCGGCATATGGGAAGACCCGCCACAGCTTCACGGTCAAGTCTCCGCCTAAGGGGGCGGCAGCCAGGGCTGGGCCTTTGGGGAGGGGAAGGGTCCCAAGGCAGGCTCTGTGGCGTGGGAGGTACTGACCTGAGGACACGATGGTGTTCCAGGTAGACGCAATGGCGGTGACGGGTCCCGGGTTGTGCGCCTCTGTATGGAAGACACTCTTCGACTCGCACCACTCCAGCACTGACAGCATGCCATCCGTGTGGCCCACCACCGGCAGGTACCTACAGGTCACAGGAGCCTGTTGGCGCGGGCCCTGTAGGCCCGCCTGGCCCTCACTTGCTTCGGCACCCACCGGTTCTTGTCCTTCCAGGACCCGATGTCACTGCGGCACAGGTCGCCCCGGTGCTGGCGCACAGTCTCCCAGCTGGAAAACGCGCCGCTGGGGTCAGTGAGGTGGCTGTAGAGGTGCAAACAGGAGGGCCTGGGCGCCGGCGCCGGCGCCGGGCACACGCGGTAAAGCACGCTCATGGGGCAGCGTGCCGCGTTGGCACACACCAGGTGTCCGGCACGTGTCAGCAGCCATAGTTGTTCGCGCGGCAGGCAGTAGGCCACAGCAGCTGCGCAGTCGTCGGGCTCAAGCAACAGCGCGCTCACAGTGCGCCCAGTCACAACTGACACGAGGTAGACAGAGCCGTCCGCGCAGGCGCACACGAGGCGCGCGGGCAGCGGCGGGTGCAGGGGCAGCGCCGGCGCCACCTGCAGATGGAGCACCTGCGCGGACAGCTGTGCCAAAGGCGAGTAGAGCTCGCGCAGCCACCACAGCTCCACGCTGCCCACGCGCAAGGAGAGCACCGGCCACCCTGGGCCGGCGGGCGCCAGCAGGCGGTTCACGCTCGCGGACCGCACGTCCTGGCCCCAGCAGCTCAGTGCCACCTCGCCCACCTGCGCCGCCGCTTGCAGGTCCCATGTGCGCAGCGTCCCGTCCTGCGAGGCCGATAGCACTAGGGAAGTGTTCGGGAGCACAGCCATCGCTGTCACCGGACCTGCGGGAGGAGTGCGAGTCACTCGGGTGCCCCAGGGACTAAGGGAAAGGAAGCCGGCAGCTCCAGGTTACGGCCAGCACAGAGAAATGTGGCCAGAGCCGGCGGAGATTCTGGACAGCCCAGAGCAATATAGGCAGAGGGCTGCACAGAGTGGAGAACGAACTGGCCTCAGGAGCCACCGTGGTGTGGCGCACCTGTGTGGCCCACGAACACCATCCGGATTTGCCAGTCAGCCTCCCACACCTTCACCGTGCTGTCTCGGGAAGCTGTCACCATGGCCTCTACCTCTCCGAAGTACGCCAGGTCGGAGATGGTGCTGGGGGTGAGGGTGAGGGGGCGGGAAGAGGCGCAGCCAACTCAGCATCGCTTCCTGTGATCAGGCCTGCACCCCTGCCATAACGGGCTTTCCCTCACAGACTTGCCTCATGCCCCATCCCATCCCTGGGCCCCTCTCACGTTTTGTGCAGATCTCGGCGCATATCTATGACAGCCCAGGTATGCAGATCAAAGGTGAGCACTGCTGAACCGTAAGCTGCGAAGCAGCGTTGGGCCTGGTGGTGAGCCGGGGGCCCCAGAGCCAGACGCACAAGCACACCCGTGGAGTTTGGCGGAGGCTGCAGAGGTGACCCTCGTGGCACCAGACATCGACCCCCTGCACGGAACTTCCACAGTGCCAGGCTGCCGCCTGCCTCTGCCACTAACAGCAGCCCCAAGTCAGGCACAGGCAGGCAGCAGATGGGCTCATGGCCTGGCGGTCTACCCACCCCGGGCTCACTCAGCCATAGCAGGCTGAGGTCGGGCCTTAGTATGGCCAGCCCCAAAGGGCCCCAGCCCACAAAGCGGCCTACAGAGCCCAGCGGCCCCAGCACTGCCACCAGCCCTGTGAGCGCAATGGGGGCCAGCAGCTTCTCATGGGCCCAGCCGTCCTCTCTGTGCAGGTGCATGTAGCCTGCGCCGTCCAGCACCACAAAGCGTCTACCCACTGGGTCCTGCGCCACCGAGCACAGCCCAGCTGTCACCTCCAGGCGACGCAGAGGCTCCAGTCCGTGCGTCAAGCATGCTACGCCCAGCTCTGCTCTCTTTTCCTGCGGGGCCAGGATGGGCAGGCCTGAGATCAACATGGGGGACTGGGGAGAGGTGGTGTGCCTGTCTAGGGGAGCCAAGGGATCTACTGGGACCATGCTAGGGACCCCTACGGGAAGAGTCGGACCAGGGAAGAGGCCTCCAGGAAGATGCCATGGGAGAGCCGCACCTTTTCCACAAAGTCGTGAAGGCCTGCACGTAGGAGCAGCCACAGCTGGCGGGCCCGGGCGCGTGGGGTCATGTTTTGCGACCATGAGCTCTTGGTACAAAGCTGTGGGACCAGCTCCGAGAATGACGACTCTGAGGGGCCAGTGGTGGAAGCACTGTCACTGAGTGGCCTTGGGCCCCCAACCCTGGAGGCTGTGGGCAACTGGGGGCCCTCTGGAGGGCTCTGTGGGTTAGGGGACTGCCTGGGGAGCATTGTGTTCCTGGCAGACACAACCCGTGCCTGAGTGAGGCCTGCTTTTAGGTGAGCCATCTAGAGGGCGAGGCCAGGCCCCCTCACCATTCTTCTCTTTGAGCAGCCCGGGGTCCGGAATGTCATAAATGTCAGTGTCATACGAGTCTGGGTCCAGAGTCAGGTTGTTGCCTTCTACTGAAAAGGGGTCACTTGTGTCCAGTACATCGGTCTCCATTTTGGTGGCTGCAGATCCAGGCGGTTCAACAGCCTTCTACTGCTTGTTGCTAGGATACCAGGGTACGCCAGCCCCGCCCTTGACACAGGCCCCGCCCCCAAGCTGCACAGAGGCCAGGTCCACAGTAAGTCACAGAAACTTTTATTGGAAACAAACGAGCTGCAGCAAAGTGACACTCAGTGCACGCTGCCCAATGGGCGAGGTGGGGGGTACAGGTGGGCGCCAGGAGCCGGCCCAAGCCCAGGTGGATGACCACTGGGGCCTGCTTGCCGGGTCTCTGGCCCTTTGGGCCGGAGTGCATAGGCCTAGGCCTGACCCGGTACAAAATACAAAAATAAACTCTGGGGTTCAGCTGTCCCTGCCCATGTCAGCTTCTTTGGGCAGGACAGTGACTTTCCCCACCAGGCCCTGTGCTATCTATCCAGTCCAGCCCATGTGGGCAACAGAGCCTGTGGGGGTGAACGACCATCCAGGGACTGGAACCAAAGGGTTAGGTGGGCAGCGCTGGAGCTGTGGCAGCGTCAGGGTCTGGCCAGCAGCTGGGGAGGCTCTGGGGCCCCTCAGGCAGGCAGGTCCAGGCACTGGTTGAAGCTGGATGAAGCTGGGGTCTCTGCTCCTCCTCCTCACATACAGATCACCGGAACCCTGGCAGAGGAAGGCAGCCTTGAGACCTGGCAGAGGAGCCCCACCCTGTCCTGCCCACCCCAGGCTCTAGGAGCCAGGCTACGCCACCCAGTACACACCTGTCCTCCATGGCGCTGGGCTCCTCTGGGCTGCCCTTACTGCCTCCACCTCCTCGCTCTTCCTCCTCCTCCTCTTCCTCCCCCAGCTCCATGTCCAACTCGTTGCCCGCCTCTGAGGGCGTGTACGTGGATCCACTGGGGGAGGTGGTGGGATCAATCTTAGGACCACCTACCCTTGGCCTGCTGCTGACCCCAGGGAGGATGTCCAGGGGGGAGAGTCAGAAGTGAAGTGGGTCAAACAGGGAGCTGGGGGAAGGGACGTGGACAGGGCGCCAACCTGATGGAGCGGCAGCTGAAGAAGACAACCCGCTTCAGTCGCTTGTTGTAGAAGAAGTAGTTAAAGGACCAGAGGCTGCCATCCTCCCCGAAGGGGTCTGAGTCCAAGTCCGGGTTGTAGCTAGGGGGTGTGAAGAAGGCAGCATGAGGGCCCAAGAACCACCCACACCCATGGGCCCACCTGCAGGGAGGCCAGCCCACCTGTAGATGTCACACTCAGCCAGGCAGATCTCCTCGTCCACTGCGTTCCACAGCTGTGGCTTCAGGGCCTTGAAGTCCTCCCGCACAGCCGAGAACAGACTACAGTTGACTGCATTCACCACCTAGAATGGTCACAGCTGGGGCTGACTAGGGACCAGGACAGCAGGCATGGACTGGGTGGAGCCCAGGGGCCACTGAAAGTGGGGGAGGGCAGTGGGGACAGTAGGGCTGCAGGTCCCTTGCCCCACTCGACCCTCGACCCTCACCCAGCTGAGGCTGGGCTCCCGGCTGAACTCGTGGCTGCGGGCAGTGCTGAAGTCATAGTCGGGGCGGAAGGACTCGTTGAGTGTAGCGATCAAGTAAAAGAGGGTCTTCCGGCTGCATTTGTCGCTGAGGGGGCCCTCATCCTCACCGCCTTGGCTCTTGCTCAGTCTGCACAGAGAAGCATCAGCCCAGTGCTGCCCTGCACCCCACAGCCCCAGGGGGCAGGCCCTGCCCCGGCTCACCTGCTGGGGCTGAGGCCTGAGGTCTGGGGTGGGGACAGTGCCTCCAGCACGTGTGGTTGGCCCTCCTGGCAGAACTGCTTGAACATGTGCTTGTCGTCTCCTGCCATCTTACATGAGTAGCTCTCAATTCTACAGAATAAAAAAGGGACCTTGGAGCATGCCCTCCCAGGTTTGAGACTCCGGGCCAGGGCAGTGACCTCTGAGGCATCAGCCCCTGGGAGCCCCAGCCTCACCTGCCAATGATGTGGGCATCTCCGGTCTCCACGGTCAGCTGTGAGTTGATGGCCTCAAAGCTCGAGTTCTCCAACAGCTTCATGTCTTTGGGAAAGGGCTCCTGTGTTCTGAGGGGCTAGTGCTGCCTGCGGACAGAAGGCGGGACAGAAGGCGGGTGGGTGGGTATCTGGCCCCTGGGGCTCTACCTGCAGGTTTGCAGACTTTTCTGTAAGCGGAGCTGCGGTAAACAAGCTGGGTCCCTCCCACAGCCTGTTCCCAAGCCCTGAGCACTGGCGGGGGAGGCGATGAGATCCTGTTACCAGAAGGTGGCAAGTCCAGGCCCCAGCTCAGCCACACCCCCTGCACCTTATTCGAGTTGTGGGGCCAGGCTGGGGAGCCCGCCGGGGATCCTGCTCTCCGAGGGGCTGCTGGTTTGGTGTCTTCCTCAACACTCCCCATCCTGGCAGAAGAGCCCCACCCACCAAGGGGGTCACTGTGAGCCTGCGAAGGGAAACGACTCCCGCGTCTTCCTCCGCCCCGACATTCAGCCAGGGTAAAGAATCCGCACCCGATTAGGAGCCAGGACACCTGGGGCTCTGGCCCTGCGGTCACCTGGAGGCGGCGTTCTTCCCTGCTCTACGGACGGCTTTCTAGCGAGGAGAGAAAACCCACAGGCTCCGACGTTCTTCTTTAAAAGTGGGCGTGGTTTCTTCGGGAGCAGAGGGAGGCCCCACGGCCCTGTCCGCGGGCCGCTAGGGCGCTCCGGCGTCGGCCCGGCAGCGCCCGCCGGCCGGCCAGGGCCCAGCGGAACCCCAGCCTAGCCGTGGTGAACTACAAATCCCAGGAATCCGTGAGCCCCACCGGGCGCGCTTACGCGCGCCGGCGTGATGCCTGGTGGGGGCTGTAGTTTTGGAGGCCCGGAGGCGGCGCCGGGCACGGGGGGACACCTACCTGCTTGCGCTACGCTCTATCTAGCCTGGTAGGGCCAGGCCGGGTCAGGTCAGTTGATGTAGGTGCGGGTGAGAAGGCGGTGCGGGCTCCGGGCAGCGCGGGATCCTCAGGACCGGAGGGCGGCGCCGCGGCCTCCGCTCGGGCCGCACTGTATCCGGGGGAAGAAGCTCCGCGGCGACATCCCGTTACTCCCGGCCCTGCCGGCCCATCCGGGCTGCGACCGCGACATAGCCTCGCCCTTGCACGGCGCCCGACTATCGCGACCGACTTGCCCGCCGACAGCCGCAGAGCGCCCCAGCGAGCGACCGACCGACCTTCTGCCTCCTCCGGCCGGACAACAACAAGCTCCCTCAAGGCCCGGCCCCGCACCTCTGAGTGGCCGGCTCCAGCCGCTGGGATCGAGAGCTTGGAGAGCCATTGGGGATGGTACCCGCCGCTCAGTGCTGTCTTCCACTCCTACTGGCTATAGTGCCTGTCCGTCACTCTCCTCGCCGTCTGAACCCGCCTTCCTTCCTGGCCCTCACTGGTTATGGCTCCTCGCTTGCCCCGCCCTCGGTGGCCTCCCGGGTTCCCAGGAGGGTCTGTCTGAACCCTGCGGAGCCGGCGGCAGGGAGCCTGAAGGGGCGTCCAGCTTCCGCCAGTCTTGGGATTTAGACACGGACCGCCCGGCTGCAGCCTCCGCCCTCCCAAGCGTCTAGGGCGAAGGGGCCGCGCCCACCTTCCAATGGTGGCCGGCGCTTTCGTCCCTGACACTTTGTCCCGACGTACAAGCCTCCAGGCCCAGCCTGGTTCGCCCGTGTCCATCCTGGGCAAAGCGGGAGGGTCAGGCTCGGCCCCCTCTCGGGCTCCGACGCGCTGGCCGCGCTCGGAACCCCAGACTCGCGGCCCCGGTTTCTGGCGGACACAGGCGCTCAGCGGCCCGAGCCCACGGAAACGAGATCGGAGGGCCGGGACAGGGCAGGACCGGAGATGGCGCCGCCGGCAGGCGGAGCGGCGGCGGCTTCGGACCCAAGATCGGCCGCGGTGCTGCTGGCCGTGCACGCCGCGGTGAGGCCGCTGGCCGCGGGGCCGGACGCCGAGGCGCAACTGCGGAGGCTGCAATTGAGCGAGGACCCCGAGCGGCCCGGGCGCTTCCGACTGGAGCTGCTAGGCGCGGGGCCCGGAGCGGTGAGTGGGAGCTGCGGGGGACGCGGAGCCTAGGCCCTTGCTTGCCCGCCGAGTGCCCTGCAGCAGTTAACTTTCCTTGCTTCCGTTTCCTGGTCTGTCAAATGGGGATGATGCTGATACGTATCTTTATAGAACTACTATGAGGGTTTCATAAGATAATGAGTAAAGCGCTTTTAGGACAGCGCAGGTAGCCTATAAATGTTACCTCGTGTGCCTTTGATCACGTCATGCAGTATGATGTGCTGGGAGGAGGCACTGATCCCGGACTCTTCCCCCTCAGGTCAGTTTGGAGTGGCCCTTGGAGTCAGTCTCCTACACGGTCCGAGGCCCCAGCCAGCATGAGCTGCAGCCTCCACCAGGAGGGCCTGGGACCCTAAGCCTGCACTTCCCCAACCCTCAGGAAGCTCAGCGGTGGGCAGCCCTGGTCCGAGATGCCACCGAGGAGGGACAGAATGGTCAGTACCCTGGAGCACATTCATTTGGTTGGCCAGGGACTGTGCTGGGAGTGAGTAGCAGTAGCCACAGCCCTCCAGGCCTGGGGGGCGGGGGCGGGGAGTCGCAGGGAAAGCTGGGCCCACCTTACCCACTGCTGGGGTTCTGGGAAGACTCCCAGGAGAGAAAGTGGAGAAAAGGAACAGAGGCCAAGACGGGGAGCCTGTAGTACCGGACAAGTGTGGGAGGGCAGAGCAAGCAGGCCCTCAGGACTTGGGTGAGAGGACAGACAGACTAGCAACGGGAAGGTATTCAGTGGGAGAGTGACAGGCTCAGAGTTGAGCTACTTAAGATTGGTTGAAAAACGAAACAAAAAGATTAGTTGAGACCTGCATTCATGTGGGGTGGTGCAGATAGGGCTGGAGAAAAGGATGTTTCCAGAGATGCTTAGGAGATGGAATTGGCTGGATTTTGTTAGTGGTTGAGACAGAAAGATGGGTGACCAAATACCATGGGGGGAGAGAGCCTATTTGGAAGGATATAGAGGTGGCCCAGTTGCTACACGTCTGCGAGGAGCAGGAGCAGGAGCAGGTGGATCTGGGCTGGAGTTGGGGCTCTGGAGCGTCAAGATCAACCAGGGTCACTCGGAGAGAAGCAAAAACAGAAGAGGGTCTGGCAGGCAGACAGTGCACCAGGGAAAGCCCACAAGGGTGCAGAAAGAGCTGCCGGAGAGGTAGGAACCTTAGACTGCGGTAAGAGAGGCCCCGACAACAGTGTCGGGAGGACACAGGAAGAGAAGGCCTTTTCCGTTCGTCATTCACTCAGTGCACTCGTTCACTCACCAGATGTAGCCTCGGGACTCAGCACTCCTTCAGGCCCTGGCAATTAACATGAATTAAACTTCAAATCTCTGCCCTCTCGGAGCTTGTGTTTCTCAGGGAGCAGCAGACATACAAAATAAGTCATAAAATTCTGTTGGGTGCTGGAAGGGAGGAGTTTGCAATTTAAATCAGAGTGGCAACAGCGAAGGCCTCCTTAAGGACATGAGTGAAATTTGAAGATTGAGGCATGAGCCATGTGGCCGCAGAGCAGTGGATCCAGAAGCCCCGAGGCAAGGGACATGCACTGGCCGGGCCAGGTGCTCGGCATACTGAGGGCCGGAGGGTGTCAGCACTGTGTGAGCTGGGCCTCAAGCAGGAGACAGCAGTGCGTCCAGCCCAGGGCCTGAGAGGGTTTGTGTGGCACGGGAGCAGTCCGAGGTGTCCTGGGCCGGTGGTAGAGCCAGAAGGGGTGGAGGTCCTATGCTGACTGCAGGGCTCCTTCAGAGGGAGGGCCTGCTTTGCTTCTGCTGTGAAGCCAAGGGAGCCCAAGAGAAGTGGCCTGTCTCTGGAGGAGGGGCACAGGCGGGTCCAGAAGGGCTCCAGAGCCCAAGTGCGGCCCCAGCTTTGAGGGGTTGGCAGGGCCCTGAGGGTTTGCAAGGGCCGAGGCTCGAGGCAGCCTCGCTAGAAGTGTGGCCAAGGCAGGGCCCTGGCATGGGCTGGGATGAGGAGAGAGGAGGCAAGGAGCCTGGAAACCTGAGGTCAGAGCAGAGGCCTAGGGGAGTACTTGGCGGGGGGACAATCTCAGGAGACCACCAGCCCACCCCACACCTTCCCTCCTAGGCAGCAACAGCCTGCCTCCAGCCCTGAGCCCAGAAACGTGCCCTGTTTCCCCACCCAGTCCCCCCGAAGTGCCCACACCCAAGGCCCCTCAACCCAAGGTGGATGTTCCCTGGAGCCCTGGAGACTTGATGGAGAAAGGTAAAGGCAGGTGGCCGGGGGGTTAGGGGAAGCAGCAGTGCCCAGCTGTGACGGTTCTCTCTCCTTGTAGCAGAACTGGCAGGGCGCCTGGCGCGAGCCATCGAGGGTGGCGATGAGAAGGGGGCAGCCCAGGCGGCAGCCGTCCTGGCCCAGCATCACGTGGCCCTCAATGTTCAGCTCCAGGAGGCCTGCTTCCCGCCTGGCCCCATCAGGTGAGACCTGGGACTTCTCCCTCACCCCGCCCTCCAGCCTCTCAGGTCCCCCACCATGCCCCCGTCCTACATTCTGGCCCAGGTTGCAGGTCACAGTTGAAGATGCTGCGTCCTCTGCTCACGTCTCGCTACAGGTCCACCCCCACTGCACCATCGCGGCCCTCCAGGAGCAGGTGAGCACAGGGTCTGGGGATCCCTTCAGGGCAGGCACCCCAGTGACACTGCCTGGCCCTGACACTCTGGCCACAGGTACTCAAGGAGTTGGGCTTCCCACCAGCAGTGCAGCGCTGGGTCATTGGGCGGTGCCTGTGTGCGCCAGAGTACAGCCTGGCTTCCTATGGGGTCCGGCAGGACGGGGACCCTGCTTTTCTCTACCTGCTTTCAGCCCCTCGAGAAGTCCCAGGTCAGTCCTTGACTGGGGTGGGGTAAGGAAGGTGGGGGTGCAGCCTGACACGGCTCTGAGCCCCACCTCCCCACCCTAGGACGCAGCCCGCAGCACCTCCAAAAGACGGATGGGGAGTTAGGCCGCCTGTTTCCTCAGTCACTGGGACTGCCCCGAACCCCCCAGCCCGCCAACTCCAGCCTCCCCAGCCCTCTTCAGGTAGGCAAGGGCCCAGGTAAGGTGGGCCTGGCAGCTGTGGGGACGGGAAGGAAAGGGTGAGTAGTAGCCGTCTGCCCTGTTCCCCAGCCCGGCTGGTCCTGTCCTTCCTGCACCTTCCTGAACACCCCAAGCCGACCTGGCTGTGAGATGTGTAGCACCCAGAGGCCCTGCGTGTGGGACCCCCTTCCTGCAGCCTCCACCCAGCAGCCACCGAAGGTACTAGGGGCAGCAGAGGGGAGAGGATGAGGGCTGGGGGGCAGGACAGCAAAATGACCCATCTCCCCTCACCCCAGGTCACAAGGAAAGAGGATGGCCCTTCCCTTCCAGGCCCAAGGTCCCTGGACCCCCTCCTGAACCTCTCAGGGGACCTCTGCTGACTGCTCACTGAGGACAGAGGCAGAGCCATTAAAGTACTTCTGAGCCAGCTGAGTGCCCCCACTTTGTGCGGACCGGGCTGCTGGGAGGATGGCGAGCAGAACAGTCCCACTCAGGAAACTTGGTGGAGGGGGTGGGGCCTGGCCCTCAGCAGGCGGGGCTCCCCAGCCAGAATAGAAGAGCATACTTGGACCCCAAGTCCAGGGGTCCTAGGGGCATGGCGCTAAGATTTCTCCCCACCCCAAGGGCTTGCAGGGCCCCTACACGCCCCCCTGCCCCCTGGCTGCTGATCACTTGTGCTGAGGCCTTCTGTGAGTCCCCACCCCAGCTGACTGGCTCCCCTGTCTGCTCAGAGCTCTTCAGGCATGCTCCCTCCTTTCACCCTCCCAACCGGCCACCACTCCCTGGGGCTACTCTAGCTGGGATGCCCATTTTATTCCCCTCTTGGGGACGAGAAAATATCAAAAGCTAGGAGCCCCGAGCCAGGCCCTGGGCTAAGACAGCACCTCCATGACCCTCCCCCAGCCTGGACCCAGCCCTACCTGCCCTGTGCATGGCTGGGAGGCACCATCCCGAGACAAACACCCCACCCAGACTTGCTCACCACCCTGCTCCCCCTCCAGGAGTTCCTCTGCCTATCTCTGCTTCCAGAAGCCGGCTGAAGGTGGTCTGTCATCTCCCAGCCACACCCTGCCCACACCAGCTCCTGCCTTAGGCCAGGCCTCTGCCCTGTTGGAATGCTGCCCTCAGGATGAAGGCCAAGTGGTTCAACACTGACACTGGGCGGGTTACTCTAGCAGGCCCTGGACCATATCCAGCCAGGCCTGGCTGACCTTTTTCACCTGTGCCTGGTACTCCCCACACCAGAGTGCTGCCACCCTTTCCTCTCTAGCAGCGAGCTCTCCACTTCCTGCAGCACATCCAGTACTGACTGGACTCTCAACCAGCAGTCAGTGCAGGCCATACTGCATGGGACATCCCTGGGAACTGAGGGCATGGGTCTCAGTCCCAGAGTGCCCTGCAGACCCGCACTCCCACCACACCATAGCTCAGATATGTATGTTGAGAAACTTAATTTATTTCCATGATGGAGGCTGAAGGAGCTGGAGCACGGTCTCCTGCCCCTGCCCTCCCCTCTTGTCCTAGAGGAAGGGGCTTCGCCGAAGGGCCAGCTGAGGCCTTAAGTGGCCCACAGTGGCTCCTTGGCTGGGGGGCCTGTTCAGGCAGGACGGCAGCAGGCACAGGATAGGGTCACTTGGGCGGCCGATACGCCATCTTCCGGCTTTTCAGGACTGACCACTTGTGCCGCTTCATGGCATAGATCAGGGGCAGCAACAAGCCCATCATCAACAGCATCTGTTGGTAAGGCAGGCTCAGGTGGGGGTGGTGGGAAGGACCCTGCCAGCTCCCAGCTCCTCCCATGTCCACTGTGTCCCTTGCCCGACTTTCACCTTGAGCCCCATGCGTTTGCGATGGTCGTGCTCTGGCTCAGATGCCCAGCGCAGGAAGGTACACACGTCCTTGGCTACCTGGGACATGGTAGCTGGGGTACCTGGGCCAAAAACAAGTGGTAAAGGCTGCCCTTGGGGGCCCCTGCCCAACCTGAGGTCCTCTGAACGTACCACATCCCCTCCATGGAGCGGACTGGTTCCAAAAGGGATGGGGCCTGAGCTGGACAGGCTGTGAAACCCGCCCATGAGCCCCCTCCGACAGGCACACAGTGCCCCAGCCAGGGAGAGGGCAGGACCATGGGCTTGACCCAGGGAAGCGTCCTGGCAGTGGGGGAAGGAAGGCTCAGGGTGGGGGCCTCACCATCGTCAAACTCCAAGACCTCGTCGTAGATGGGAGGGGCCATGGCGATGGCCTGGCCAGGGAAGTAGGGGTTGAAGTACAGGCCTTCTCGCAGCGACACCCCGGTGGGTGGATCACAGTAACCCGTGAGCAGGGAGAAGACGTAGTCCTCGCCACCATGCCTGGGACCAGAGTCGTGCCTGTTCAGCCCCTGGCCTGGTCGGTCCTTCCTCCCCACCCCCAAGCTGGCAGGCAGCCCGGTACCTAGCTCGCACGATGTAGCTGAGGTCAGGGGGCAGTGCTCCGCTGTTGGCTGCTCGGGCGGCCTCAGGGTTGGGGTACGGTTTGGGGAAGTAGTCGGACAACTTCCCTGGCCGCATGAACATCTCCCCATCCTCATTGGGGCCATCCTGAATCTCCACCTGCCACCAAGAGCAGCATCACAACTGCTGTCCACCACGTGGGAGCCCGAGCCCCTGGAGCCCCTGGGTCCCCGGCACCCCAAGGCACCGCACCTCCTCTGCCAGGGCCTTAGCTTCTTCCTCTGTGTAGCACACGCCCACCAGGTGGCGATAAGCCACGTAGTCCATGCTGTGGCAGGAGGAGCACACCTGCTTATATACCTGGAAACCCCTCCGGATGCTAAAAGAGGGACAGGGTTAGAGGCTCCCAAGATTCCACCCCACCCAGTCCACCCAGAAACTCCCCAGCCAACCAGCCGCACACCTGGTGTGGTCCAGGGAAGAGAGGAGGCCACGGTGGGACCACGGATAGCTCGGGGGGTGCAGCTCCAGGTCACTGGCACTCACGGCAGAATGCAGAGCCACGGCCAGCCCTGCACCCCCTGCGGCCAGCATGCCCAGCGCTGACAGCATCACTTTCCGGCCCCGGGACAGGCCGGACTTCGACGACAAGGACACTGCCTGCAAGAGCCCCGCTCAGCGCCTGCCAGAACACCACCCAGCCCTACCTGGGATCTGACTCTCGGCGCCTACCTGTCCCACCTACCCACCCGGCACTGGCCGCCTCCTGCCCTTCCCGCTTCGCCGCGCTGCTGACCCCTCGCCGTGATTCGGCCGAGGAGGGGATGCGAGGCACGTTCTTGGATCCCAGGCTGGGGATCCAGCTGAAGTGAGCAACGGTGCTGGGGCAAGCCAAGGTCACAAGCAACGGGCCGAGGTCAGGCTGAGGTCACTTCAGGACGCGGGCCCAGTGTGACAGACCGGAGCGGGAGCGAGCCTGGGCGCGCTCCCCGGGGAAAGCCCTCCGCCCCGACCCTGCGGCGCCCCAGCCCCGCTGTCCCCCCGCTCGGCACGAGTCGCCTCTGCTGCTCGGAGGAGTGGGCGCCGGGCCCTGCGCCCAGGAAGCAGCTAGGTCTGCCGGCGGCTGAGGCCCTGCAGGGGCGCTGGGTGGCCGAGGCCGCTCCCCCGCTGCCCGGCCCGCTCCCGGAGCCTCCCCGCCGTGACCTTCACGGGCTGCGGGGCCACGCGGCGGCCGGGGTCCGGGCCAGCGCTCACCTGAGGCGTCCGCAGCGGGAGCTGCCCGGGCCGCGCGCCGCACAGCAGACCCCGGGCCCGCGTGCCCGGCAGCCCCGCGCCCCGCTGTTGCCGCGACAACGTCCAACTGCAATGGTTCC